ACAGCCTTAGGTGATAGAATAGACATCTAAAATTCGTGGTGCTGTATGCTTAACTTGGGGCAAAACTGAATTGCTCAACCAGACACAACCCTTAATTGTTTGTTAAGGGGGAACTTTGTACTGAAGGCTTCACTGAAATGAGATAAAACTATAGCTGGAAGTAATACAACCCAATGTAGTCGTGCTTCATTGTCATGCTTCATGTCCTTGGTATGCCCAACAGAGGTTTTAGTATGCGCGTGAAATAATGTTCACATGTAGTGTTCTCTCTTGTCATATTGATCATTTTTTTCAGTCAGCCCATGAATGATGATTGGGCTTTTGGGTCCTCTGGAATGTGGACCTAATGGCCCACCAAGGGCTGTCAATGGACTGGATTTGGATTGGGTCTAATTCATCCATAGGAATATTTGGTACAGTGTGCGTTGCCAACTTACTGTTGCTTTTGGTTAACCTGTGAAAAATATATATTGTCACATCATACACGTATGCCATTTTAACTAGAAAATTTGTAATATATGAAGGCAAGTACTAGGGGTGTCAATTGGACTGGGTTTGGTCCAATCCGCTCCAGTCCAATGTGAATCCATTACAAATGGACCAGGTCTAATTCAATGAATATTTTGGACTATTTTAGATTAATCCAATTGAATGTTTGGATGTACAATCTGTTCAAATTTGTTTTAATTTAGATTGGTTCCAACCTAAATCTAGTCCATTGTCAGTTTGGCACCTATATTCTTATCTTCTATAAATGGATCAGATATTGGCTCAATCCAACCTAATCCAATATAAATTCATTATGAATGAACTAGGTCCAATCCAATCCAATAAATACTTTGGACCATTATGTCTGGACTTGTCCAATTCAATATGCCTTGTTGGTCCATCCAATCCGTCCAAATTAATTTTGATTTGAACAGGATCCAACCCAAAACTGGTCCATTGACACCCCTAATGGCAACTCAACACTACTGTACCAAACACCCCCCCTGCATTTGATGCCCATTAAAAATCCAATCCAGTTGTAACCCAAAATGTTAACTCACATTCTCAATTTCTCACTTAAAACAGATTGTAGATGGGGTTTTGAGTCCAGCTATAGCTGCATCTTGAATTGGAGCTCTTCAATCCATGCAGGTCCTGATCATTGGATTCCTCCACCATTTCATACTTTTAATATGAACATGGGTGCAGCCACTTTTTCTTCTCATTATGGTGCTGGTTTGATCTGCTGAGACTCATTTGAGGTAGCTATGTCTCGAGCAAAGCTATCAGAATTACTAGTTGCAAATTTGCAATGCATCCATTACTGATTGGCCTTTGGTTAAGGCTTAAAACTTGCAAGCTCTCTTCATCTTCCAAGTTAGATTCTGAGGGAGATGCACAGGACATAGTCCACCTCTTGTTGGAGTTTTTTATTATTCCTCTGCGCACATGCATCTGTATGTGACAACCAGATAGCTCATCACCTGGCCAAGTGGCCCTTAGATCCTTTGGGAATTGGCATAAGGGCCTTGTTAAAAAAAAGGGGGGGGGGGGGGGGAAATTCTATAGTCAAATTAGAACTACAGCCACCTCCTATCCATTCAATAGTCTCCAATATTTTCAATGCCCCCAAGTCCCAACTAGAGATTTTCACATAAAAGAGTCACCACTTTTAATCTTGTTTGGAAATAAAAAGTGCTATTCCTATAAATACTTCTCAAAACTTTATATTAGGGTTGATTCAAATGGGAAAAACTTCAAACCAACTTGATCAATAACTCTGATCATTTTCCCAACATTTTTAAAACAAGTCCACAAACCTTTCTTGGAGAACAAAGAACCCCCTAAAAAATCCATTTAAATCCACTCTTACAAGTATCCTGCCTCCATCAAGATCTTTCATGCTTATCAATTTCAAACAGAATTTTAGTTAATAATCTACTTACAAACGTACAATGAAATATGAACAAAACACAGTACATATTTAATAAGGACCATCCTACCATTGGTCTGAGGCATAAGCCCTCGTCAGAAAGAGGCATAAGCCTCAACCTTCAAGGTGTGAGAAGTAGAAATAAACCTCAAAAACCTATGACAATTGAGTTCTTTAATACCAAAAAAAGGTTTTCTTAGTATTTTCTAATTTTAAATATATGGAAAGGGCCCTTTGGTAACTTCTATATTACAAAAAAAAAAAGATTAAAATGAAAAGTTAATAGAACAAATAGAGTTCCTAGTTTCTTGGGGTTTTAGAGGAGTTCAATGCAACAAGGACCAAAAATAAAACTTTCATCATTCTCTCTTCATTGTTTTGCCAAATCAAGTGGGATTTTTTTCTTATTATTCTACACTTTTGGGTGATTAGAAATCTAGAATCCTAATTCTTAAATTTGTCAGTTTTTCTATTCTCTCCACAAGAAAATATTATTTGCTCATTTTTTGCCTCTCATTTATATTCCTAATAGATTTCTTTTATTTTTATTATTCATTTATTCTTTGCACATATTAAACCAATTAAGTTATTTCCTTTCTTCTAAAATGTTGGGTAAACAAAATATGGATGATTTATTAGAAGATCTCAAGGAAAAAAGTGATGATAGAGAATTTTGATAATTTAATACATATGATTGGCTATTTGAACAATTTGAGAAATTTGGATACTCAAATTTGAAATATAAAAGGTTTATGGTCATTAGTTGATTATTTATTATTTTATTGAATGCAAAAAACCTAAACTTTGTCACTTTTAGACTTCTACTAATAAGAGGTTGTCATGATAATGATTAAAGTATGAAAAATTAAAAAGAAATTGTAGAAAAAAATTCAATACACATGTAGAAAAAACAATTTTTTATTAATTAGAGTGTTGAATCCTTTAAGGCTGCACTAGTGCATTTTTGGACTGTTACAGAGACGTTGAGATTGGAATAATCGAAGGAAGGGGAAGAAGCCGGCACACTTTCGGACCGATGGGCCCTTGTCAAAGCCCTATACCAGAGCTGGTTCAGAGAAAAAAAGGCAGAAAAAAAATCCATGCCAAATTGACCAATAACTCTGTTCATTTCCCTAAATTTCCTAAACCAAGTCCACAAACATCTTTTAGAGAACAAATTAAAGAAACCCCCAATAAATCCATTTAAATCCACCCTTAGAGATATCATGCTTTCACCAAGATCTCCTCTCATGCTTATCAATTTCAAACAAAGTTTTTTAGACTTTCAGTGGGTAATCTAATCACAAAGATTCAACGAAAGAGGAATAAAACCCAACACATATTTAACAAGAACCATCCTACAAGCCTTAGATAAATGGCAAATAAACCTTATACCCATTCAATCTCTATTTCAATCTATCCAAAATATAGGATGAAAAAGTGAAGTCAATCTAAGGCTTGTATCCATTCAATAAAGAGCATAAGGGAAGAAGAGTTACATCTCATTGAATTCAGATTTGATCCTCACACCTTTCTCAGAGCCTTTTGCAGTCATACATTGGGAACATCTCCGCACTTGTATGTTTTTATTCATGTAAAGATATTTCCAATGCACGGCTATGAGAGAGAGAGTGTGTGTGAAGATGGTCGAAGATAGTCTTGCAAAGACCAAATCCGATTTCCATCCCATTGTGCATACAACACATCCCCAAAATCACATGGACCATTAGGACTTGTCATAACTTGACTCATACATGTTCTTTATCAAATACTGATGGATCTTATGATCCAATGCAAGAAAATGCAGGGATTGGAAACATCACCAAACATGCCTTAACCCAAGCTGTTCTCTCAGCAGTCATCAGGTTTCCTCATATGTAAGACTCAAGGACCCTACCATGCAGAAATTAGAGCACTGACTTGGGCGATTGAAAGAGCAAGATCAATGAAAATTCGACATATCATAGGACTTTAGGCTCAGTTTGGAAGGAATATAAATATTATTACAAATACATAAAGTGCAAAGCCGTTTGTTTTACATTTGTATTGTATTTATACTCTTTCCAAACTGGGCCTTAATAAACAAGTTTCAAAGAAAAAATAAAGAGTGCAACTGAATTGATCAAATTCATTAAACTCATCTGCAATAGTCACTTTGACACTTTATCTTTTGTACATCTACCTAGATCACAAAATCACTTAACTCATGGGCTGCCTCTATTTGCTTGTAAAAATGCCCAACTGATAAACACTTATATCTGTAAGGCTGTAATCAGTTTTCTTATTGGATATATATATATATATATATATATATATATTTATTTATTTATTTATCTTGAAAACAAGAAAAGCATTCTTCTTTCACTAAAAAGGAGAAATGCCCAAATGTAATCCATTCATTTTCGTTTTCACTTGTTTTAGCAGCATTTTAACTCGTTTTGTAGTAAACCCTAAATTCTTTTATAAAACAAAAAAAAAAAATCCATTTATGCAAATGCTTCAGCAAAAATCAAAACATCATCAACAAATAATGAAAAGTGAAAACTGGAAAATACTAGGAACCATGGTCCATGAATAAGTACAGGGTGTATCAATCCCAAACAGATTATTAATCGGAACAAAATCATAAACCCAAAATCGTCGTGATTAATAATTGAGTCGGACCTTATAGACCCGATTGTACTGACAGCTACAATTATTTGGATAAATAAAAACTTAAAACTTGATCTTTTAACAGTAAATATTAAATTATTTATATGTTAATAAATCAAGTATTTTTAATCAAAACTATTTTATACATTATTTATTGTCATTTGTAGACAAAATATAAAAAATAAATAAAAAAACTAGGAAACCTTTATATAAACGGTTTGAAACAAACAAGAATCAGAAATTCGAATCGATCCAATTATTAAGCAGGACAAAATCACATACTGATATAATCGGTTCGGTTCGGCCAGTTGGGTTGAATGACAGCCCTGGAGTGTTAGTAAAAAAAAAAATGAAAAAAAACATAGGCAGGGGTGAAGCAGGCCATATGCGTACATTAGCAAATGTGACTTAATGTCGAAGCGGGGAACCGGAACTCGGAAGTTTATCCACTCGAAATTGTTCGTTGGAAATCGGAAGCTTTGCAACAATGGCGCTCAAACACCCATGCTTGAGTTGCTCTTTCCCTTCCATTTCCTTTGCTTCCACAAGCCCTAACCCTAATTCCAGTGCTGCTGCACCATTTTACTACTGGACACCTCACTTATTTCGCTACTCCAGAACCCTAAGAGTTCACTCTTCCTTTGCAACTCCACAATCCGTTTCTCAATCTCCAGATCCTATTTTTCTCCCTTTTCTCATCGAAGAGGAGGAAAAAGAAGAAACAGCAGAAGAAAAAGAAGAGCAGAAACCAGAACAAGCCCCTGAAGACCCAATTGTCCAATTCTTCAAGTCTCGCTCTGCGACTCAAGACCCCGGAAAGGAAGGCAGAGTCCACCTTCAAAAGAACCGCCGGACTTCGTGGCATCTAGCAGAACTTGATTGCTTAGAAGCCGAAGCTGACAAAGAAGGTGAAGAGGAAGAAGGAAATGAAGGGTTTGGTTCTGAGGTTTCGGATTCATGTCCGGCAGAGGGCATTTTAGCAGAAATTTTGCAAATCGCTAGGAATCCTCCGGAAAATTTGACATTAGGTGAGCTTCTGGGTTCTTATGCAGGGAAGATTGGGGAGCGAGATTGCGTGGAGCTGCTGCAATTGATGGGACAAGAGGGTCTTGTTATGGGTTGTCTGTACTTTTTCGAGTGGATGGGTTCGCAGGAGCCATCACTTGTTACACCAAGGGCTTGTTCAGTTCTGTTTCCGATCCTGGGTAGGGCAGGCATGGTGGAGAAGTTGATGATTTTGTTTAGAAATTTACCATCCGGGAAGCAATTCAGAGACGTGCGTGTCTACAATGCTGCAATCACAGGCTTGTCGGTCTGTGGCAGGTATAGGATTCTTAATATCTTCTCCTGAGCTTACGGTCTTTCCCTTTTAGATTTGTCGAATGATTTATAGACCCAAAAAAATTATTACCTGAAGATGAGATCATAGGATGTCTATTTGCATTCATTATCCATTACGGCACTACCTAGGCTGAAGAATTTGTTTTACCTTTGTGATGTATATAACCACTGGCTATACTTCCTATCTCAAATACTAAGTGCGTGTCAAGTTCAACTCAACATTCCAGATTATGGATATAATATAAGATTATGTTGAACCTCTATTTTCAGCTTCCCAAATAGTGTGCAATGTCAGACTACATGAAATTAACTAGAGTCTTGTTCTTATTGGGTGCTTTCCTTTCAGGTATGATGATGCTTGGCAGTTGTACGAGGTGATGGAAACAAATAATATTCAGCCAGATCATGTAACATGTTCTATTCTTATTACAGTCATGAGGAAACGGGGTCAGAATGCCAAAGAGGCATGGGAGTTCTTTGAGAAAATGAACAGGAAAGGAGTAAAATGGAATTTGGAAGTTTTGGGTGCTCTTATAAAATTCTTCTGCGATGAGGGGTTGAAAGATGAAGCTCTAATCATCCAAACAGAAATGGAGAAGAAGGGTGTCTCTTCAAATGCCATTATATATAACACCTTGATTGATGCTTACAGTAAAGCCAACAAGGTTGAAGAAGCTGAAGGTCTTTTCGTTGAGATGAAGGAGAAAGGGATTAAGCCAACCTCTGCTACATACAACATTTTAATGGACGCATACAGTAGAAGAATGCAGCCTGAGATTGTTGAAGATCTGCTCCTGGAGATGCAAGATATGGGCTTGGAACCAAATGTGAAATCATATACTTGCCTGATTAGTGCATATGGAAGGAAGAGGAAAATGAGTGACAAGGCTGCAGATGCATTTTTAAGGATGAGGAAGGTTGGTATAAAACCGACTTCACATTCATATACTGCACTAATCCATGCCTATTCAGTGGATAGATGGCATGAGAAGGCTTATATGGCATTTGAAAACATGAAACAGGAAGGAATTGAACCCTCCATAGAAAATTATACTGCCCTTCTTGATGCATTTAGACGGGCTGGTGACACCCAAAAACTAATGGAAATTTGGAAATCAATGATAAGTAATAAAATTGAAGGGACAAGAGTGACATTTAACATTCTCCTTGATGGGTTTGCTAAACAAGGTCAATACATTGAAGCAAGAGATGTGGTCTCTGAGTTTGTGAGGATTGGCCTGCAGCCAACAGTGATGACATATAATATGCTGATGAATGCATATGCACGGGGAGGGCAACACTCTAAACTGCCACAGCTATTGAAAGAAATGGCTGTTCTCAATCTAAAGCCAGATTCTATAACTTACTCTACCATGATCTATGCCTATGTCCGTGTTCGTGATTTCAGAAGAGCATTTTATTATCACAAGCAGATGGTGAAAAACAAGCAAGTGCCAGATGCAAAATCATATCAGAAGTTAAGGGCAATTTTAGATGTGAAAGCTGCAATAAAGAACAGGAAGGACAAGAGTGCACTATTAGGTATAATTAATAGCAATTTAGGATTATTGAAATCCAAGAGGAAGGGGAAGAAAGATGAGTTGTGGAAGAACAAGAAAAAGCGATCTAGTGCAGTGCGATGATTCTGTTACTCTTTCGAGCAGTTGCGGTTGCAATTTGCAGTGGGGATGTATGATAAATAACAAGGACTTGCCTGCAACAGTTGTGTTGTTTATTGGTTTATTCCTGCTGCAGATAGTCCTTCCTTCTTGTATCTTTGGTGAGGATCAATCTTTTGATTTCAAGAGAACAATCAAAGTTGCTGGAGGAGAAAGGAGAAGCTCTTCTCATGTGCTGTGGATACAAGTTCTTCCCCAAAGCCTGTACGCTTGCAGAAGGGTGTGCTAAGCTAAGCTACAGGCCCGATCTCTTGCTCTACTTGATTATTGATTAAGGGCATGATTTATGTACTTACTGTGCAGTGTTTGATATTGTACTCGAAAATAATCACGAAGATCCATGTCATGTCTGGTCGTTAATTATTCAGGGGACTGATTTGCACACATCCCATTTTTTATTAAAGGCATGATTTATGTACTTACTGTGCAGTGTTTGATATTGTACTCGAAAGTAATCACGAAGATCCATGTCATGTCTGATCGTTAATTATTCAGGGGACTGATTTGCACACATCCCATTTTTGATAAACCAGGAGTGCAAATTAAATTTCATTTGTTAGATTCGTGAAAATGCAAACGTGGTTTGGTTTCGTATTGATAAATTTTGTATTCTTACCAAGCATAAGCATATTCGATTGTGATGGGTACAAACAGGAATTTCAAGACTGCAGTCTACCTTTTTTTTACATTGACCAAATGGAAGCAAAATTTGCTCCCATTTCGAATGCAAAAAATGTGAGAAAACAAATTTCCTTTGATTTTTAGTTTAAATGTATTCTTACCAAACACTCGCAAAACTGAACTGGAGTGCAAATTGCTTTGGTTCAGCATTTACTCTCTTACCAAAAACAGCCTTAGATTCAGCAGGTTCAGCAGGGAGTGTTTCATCTATTGTTCCAAATGGTGAAACAGCCCCAACACAGTTAAACATAATAATTACCTAAGATCTTTGAGAAACTATGCAGCCAACTTTACGTAAGAACTTTCTGTCAATTTTTTATTTCTCTCTTATTTTCTACCAAACCAAAGAGTTTCCTGATCAACCACGGTCCTATTTGGATGAAAAGTTAGTTTCTTAATTGACACTGGCGTGGGGAAGAGGGAGAGGGGGGGGGGGGGCTAGAGCCCTCTCCCGTTGCTGTTCCCGGACCACCCACCCCTTCCTTCCCCTTCGCCCGGCCCGGTGAGGTCCGAAGAGATCTGAAATCTTTTATACAGTCTTTTAAATGGCAGAGAGAGTTAGTTCATTTCTTGAAAACTCTTAAGTATGCTTATTCTAACTAATTTAAAATTTCCACACTAGAAAGCTATGAGTATGTCTTTATCTTGGTACTGGCATTGCATGCACTTGTCGATGCAGCTCATATGTTCAAAAATGTTTCAACTAAAATGGAAGATATTTAGCTCTACTTCTGAAAATGGATTTACAGACCCGCAATTTACGGTCTGCAATTTACTTTTACTGTGTGTAATAAATCATGGGCAATTAGGTGGTCAACAACAAACGTACGATACATCTGATACGGGACTGATACTAGGACTGGCATTGTGTCGTGCCAGTCATGCGTAATCGACTCTAGGGGTGAACAAAGAAAGCTCAAAAATCCGAACCAAAATTCTGGTTAACCAAACTGACTGGTTCTGGTTTGCTATTCTTAAAAAACCAAGTTTTAGTTCGATTTCAGTTAGCCTTTTAAAAAATCGACACTTAACCAAACCAATCAGTATACAGTAATATATATTGTATTATATATTTTATTTTTATTTTTACTTTTTTAATCAAAATAAACCCATCACCATTTGACTTTTTGAGTTTCTCCTTTTCCCCTTCTTCGATACCTAAAGGCTAATACTAAAATTGAATACCCTTGCTTTCCTCTTGTTCGTCTTCCTCCCCAGTTCTCCTTGCTTTTCTCTGGCATTGGTCATCCTTTAGCTTGTTTATGTCCATTGTCTAAGTTCAACTTCAGGCCTTTAGCTTGTTTAAGTTTTTCTTTTTTTTTTTGCATAAATATTATTATAGTTCAACTTCATTTCATCTTGTTCATTTATAGTGCATTTTTTTTTTCATTTTTTTGGATTGTCACTGAATGTTGATTAATAGTTAGTTTGTTTTACTGAATGCCTATGCCTATAGTTGCATTTGAATTGGCTTTTGAGGTTGTGTGTTTGATTCATTTCGTAGTTCTCTAATTTTGAATGTCTATGATTTGTAGACAAGATTGGTTGCAAATGTCACGTGGTTATCTTTATATAGAAGAGAGATTAGATGAGCTTGAAATTATGGAATCATGCATGATTTTCGAATTATTGTTGAAGCAATTAGTTACATTTTACCCCAAACCAAGTCCCTGGCCAAAAATCATTGAATCGGGCAGTCGAACCATCAACCTGTCAACCTGTTCAATGGCTTTTGGCTGTTTTTTATTTTTAATTTTTGTTGTTAGAACGGACTGTCCATTTAAATTGGACAATCGATTGTTTAAATTGGACAACCATCCGTTCCATGTATCTTCATATCTTTCACTCATATGCATGTGTTTCCAAAACATATCCATATCCATATTAGTATCCAAATTGTTGATACAAATCATACAATACCTGATACGAATACATTAATCTTTGATCAACAAATCAACAAGGGTCAACAATCCCTTATTGATTCCTTTTGAATGATGAAAACTCTTTAAATTTCCTCGAACTTTTAATTGCAGAAACCATTTTCCGCCCAAAACAGCCATTATGTCTCATTAAAATTTCTTTGGTACTGCTGGAACCGGGGGAAAGGACAGAGCACTTACAAGGTTGCATTAAAATGAGCTTTAAGAACAGAGAAGTGCAATGGTACATGTTTAGTATCTACATATTTTCACCATTATCTGGTAGTCTTCATCCTTGTGTTTCTAATTGGGATGGACTGATTGGGTAGCCAAACAAGAGGGGGCATGAAGAAAGTTCCTGTAAAGAGTTCCAAGTGACTCAAGAATTCAGTGCCTCAAATATTCGAGGAAACTGCAGCATAATACTTACTATGTTGGTTGGTCAAGTGTTTATATCACTCTATTATGACATGGGAGGTGAGGTTTGACAGTTTGACTAATAGTGCTATCTATTAATAGATTACAGTTTGCAATGGATCGAGTGAAATTCTGAATTAAAAAAAAAAAACAAAACAAAACAAAACAGACTAGAGATAATTTTGTAATTGAATTAATTACAAAAGAGCAATGCCAGGAGGCTCGACCCTTGAAATCACTTGGGCTGCGTTTGTTTCTCCTTAGAATGAACTTAATCTTTTTTTTTTTTACTGAAATAGTACATCTCTTTATGCCTCCTGTAGTCCTGTGGGTGTGATCAGTGTTCAATATCAAGAAGTTGACTCGTTTTCTAAATAGAAATTCTAAGCTGATTCAATGTGATTGGAGTGCTCTTAATGGTATTACAGGTTTCTTTGGCTTTTGCATTCTGTCTAATGACAATTCCTTCAGGAGGGAGCTAGATAGTATTATTGTGATCCTTTGGAAGTGGAGCCTGTAGGGGTGTTAATTGGACTGGACCAATGTGAGTCCATTATAAATGGACCAGGTCCAATTCAATCTAATGAATGTTTTGGACTAATTTGGACCAATCCAATTTAATGTCTGGACCATTTAATCTGTTCAAATTTATTTTGATTTAAATTGGTTTCAATTCAAATCGGGTCCATTGACACATATATTATTATCTTATATCAATGGACCAGATATTGGGTTAATCCAATCAATCAAATGTAAATTTGTTACGGATAAACCAGGTCCAATCCAATCTAATAAATATTTTAGACCAGATTGATCCAATCCAATGCCTTTTTTATCCATCCAATCTGTTCAAATTGATTTTGGACTGGATGGGGTCCAATCCATTGACAGCCTTAAAGCTGGGGACAATTTAAAATCCTTGCTTTTTGCTGCAGAACAGGATTGAGAAGATATAATTGTAGTTTCTGATTCAAAAATTGCTATAGATGCCTGCTATGGGATTGATCAATAATATTTTTGGGTTTTTTAAGGAAAGAGTGGATATTATTTTGAACTTATTATTTGGTTTGTTTATAAAAGCAGAATGGCCCCACTCATGGTTTTCAAACTGTTGACCCAGATGGCCGGACCATTTAGCCCAGAAACCATACAGGCAAGTGGCAACTGGTTCCACTTCACCCTTGAACCAAAATTTTGCCAAACATCAGGCTTGGTCAGTGACCCGCTGACCTGGGCAGTCAACCCATCAACCCATACAACCTGGTAGGGGTGGCAATTTTTCACCCAACCCGCTGAACCCACTCAACCCGCCCATTTACTTGGCAGGTTGTGTGATCAACCCATCACCCAACCCGCTCATTTAAATGGGTTGGGTTGTGGATAACCATGGGTTAACCATTACAGATATAAGTATTATTTCCTTAGCCTTTTTTTCTTATTTTCTTCATTTGAATTAAATAATTTATAATTAATGCATTAATTTTCTTTTAATTATTTGATTAAATTTAGTTTTGTCTTGAATCAACACACTTCACGAAACATAAATCCAAATGAATGACCCGAGTCTGGACCAACTCAATGTGACCCGACCAATCCAGCATATATTGATCCGGGTCAACTCGGATTCAAAATAGACCCTGGGTGGGATGATTCGGTACCACTTGCTTTGCCCGGTTCGGGTTGTCTGGTCCAACTAATTTCCACACATACTGACCCAACTTGGCTCGAACCGATTCAGGCCGACCCAAATCCGAAACGGTTCCAAGCGGGATGGCTCGGTGTCTGTGTTTTACCCGGTTTGGACCGCCTGCTCCTACCAATATCTGCACAACCCGACCCGAATGACTAGCGGTGACCCGCTTCGGGTTAATCAGTTTGGTCCCAACCCGGGCACAAACCTAATATGGGCCGGTCCAAGTCAATCCACCATTGACCGATTCGATCTAGTCCAACCGGACTGATCCAGATCTAAACAGTCCAACCGGTTTGAACCTAAATGGTTCGGTCAAACCCGAAATCCATACATAGTCAAATGGCTTTGCCGCTTGTGTAAAAATAATATGCATGTAATGTGATTTGAACCTTCACCACTTGTGTAAATAGTAACTACTATTACCACCAAGCTATAACCAACTTAATTGTTAAACGAGAGTTTATTTTTTAAGTCCATAAGTATAAGATAAATGGATTTGGGTTGAACCAAACTCATTTAATTTTATATAAGTGGATCATTAGGCGATACGTTTGGATAGAATGATTGAACCGCTGACCCGGAAACCGGTGATCAAAGCAGTTCCAGTTTGGATTGGTTTTTAATACATTGGCCACACTTGCAGCTCATACAGGTCAAAAGGCAAAATGTTTTGTTGATGATTGATCATGGTGGTATCACCCACCGGTCTGGATTGAACATTTGTTCTGTACGTTTTTTAATTTTTACTTAAGTGTTATTTTTACTTTTCAAAAATAACAAAAAGGCAATTTTCAAGTTCTACATTGCTACTTTCCAGCTTTCCTTGGTATAAAAGGAAAAACTATTATCTACCGCACAGGAGTAACTGAAATTGCTAGAACTAAATGTACTTATGTACATGTTCTAACTTGTCTCCTGTTACAAAAACAAGAAATGAAGAAGGGAGATTGTATTTCCTTTTCTACTCTGCTCCTACAAGGAAACCACTGCAAACTCCATTCTAACTATATACACAAAAGCGTAGGCCCTCCTCCGATAGCTCCTTCAATAAATGTCACAAGATGCGACATTTATGGCTTCCATGCCATAATATTTTCCTCTGGAGAATGGTAAGGCTATACTCTCTATCACAGGAACCATCTCCATGGGCCATTATCCAGAAAACCTCTAATGGCTCTTAATTTCCTTGCAGTTGGTGCATACCAATTACAAAAGACTTAATTACATCAACTGGCTTACTGGAGTGGCATTGCATATCAAGTTATCAACCAATGTGTTCAGAAACTGCATTTGCAATTAAACTGTAAATCACAAGTCCTTTTGAGTCTTTGCCCATTTATTTGAGGTGTGAAGTCATAAGATGGTAAATGCACTGGTGTAGAAAATTGAAAAATATGTTCCAGTGAAGCTAACTCAAAACACCTGATGTTGCAGAAATACATAATTTAGGAAAATAGAAAGGAATAGTATTACCAGGGTGGAACATGGATACCAAGTGTCCAAATGCATCAAGTCAAAAGATGGTTGTCAAATAAGTCAGGTTCCTGGTACCTGGGTACCAAGATAAAATCACTACTTAACAAACAAAGCGGGGATCATGATTCCGCACCAAGGTCCGGCGTTTAAAATACAGTAGATTAGTCATGACCTCCCCGTTAACAACCAATATCGTCAATACAAGCCTGAGACAAAACCACCCCTCTTTCTCTAGATTAATTAACAATCTCGGATCTTCACTGCATCAAACTGCAACTTCGCCATTCCAATAATACAACGACTATCAACCTTCAAATTTACAACCATTCAGGTTGTCAAAGCTCCTAGAAATCTTGATCACACCAACAAAGCTCGCTGACAAACATTACACCGTTTCATCAAGATAAGAAGCACACCAAACCCTGATCTCAAATTAGATCGGCCACATTCATTGGCATCTCATCAATCTGTGTACTGTAATACTGCTCTATGTCTCTTAGAATCCTAATGTCATCATTGCGTACAAAGTTGATTGCAACTCCCTGCAAACCATCAAAGGTACAAGATACTTAGAAAACAATTCAGCTATGAGTGGAGTTCAACACCATAATGGCAGAAAATTAAATATGAATTAGAGACAGAAAAGGCAGTCAATTTACAGACGGGAAAAAAAATATACATAGACAGGTTGGGGAAGCAGGTGAATTTTTTTTTATAACACACTGAATTTTATTAATTAAAACTAAAATTTAAGTACGTCAGCAGGTGAGAAGATTAAAAGTTAATTAAAAATAGAAAGGGCATGTAAATAGAAAGAAGGGGACGAGTCTGCAGGGACAGGTTCAGGTTCCCACATGAAGTACCTTGATTGTATTATCACAAGCATTCAATTTACAGTGTCACAAACAATATCACAGGGGCTCTTCCAAATAGATGAAGTGTCAGTGTTGGACATGCATCAGATTCTTAAACTCCATAGTGAGTACACCTTACATACATAACACACTTCATATCTTCATATAAACTGTTTTTAGGTAACAAAGATGAACTGCATATGTGCTCATAAAAAAAAAAGAACTGTATATGTTAGGATTCACCAAGTACATAAAATCTTCTAAGGTAAATGCCAAAATTTATAGGCATTGCCAAGTCCATGCCTTCATCTTTCCAAGTCAGGCTCCCAGACATGCATTTGATTCTGAAACTGATGTTTGTCTGTCCATCCGACACTAATGACAAATGAGTCTGTAAGCTATCTAGTATGTGTTTGGTTCCGTTTATGTTTATTGATTTGTACTTTATTTGCTGGTAAAACTGAGATATGCAATAAAAGCAACCGTTTATGACAACTAGGTGCCACTTCAGCGTAACAGTGAATAAATACCTGGCCGTTTGTGGAAGCTTCAAAAAATAACTTCTACAAATGGCTAGAATGCACATAAACCAAAGCTCACTTTACATTTTCGATGTATGCAGAAGAGCGAGAGAGAAAGTGCTGAGATGGCGCCTATGTGGCACCATCAATAAATGTTTAAATGTTTATTGAATAAATGTAAATGGAACCAAACACCCTCCTACTAAGCCAGCCACCATGGGTAATGCCAAGGAAAGCGAGTATATGACATTAGATATGCATAAAGCATTATACTTACAGTCCAATTAAATCACATGTGCTTGATCTCAAGAGTCAATTTTTTCGTAGTCATGATCTCAAGGGTCTTTTCCGCAAGTAAATCCTCAAATATTGGGTCATCCATACAAAAAATATTAATTACACATGCCTATTAAAAATATACTTCATTACATATTTTATGAAAAAAACTCAGTTCACTTTTTCCCATGACTACTTGCTAGAAAATGTTTATTGGACAAGGGCATCCATCTAGGACTCCTTTATTTATTACCTAATTTTACCTTTTTTATGTTGCATTTTAACATTCTAGAGATGAACTACTCAACTACATGAGCAAAAAAGTGAGCTACTGATAATGAAGCAAACCATACAACTATAATTTGGACATCCACATACAATTCACAGAATGTCCTCATCAAACCGACTGTTAGCAAAGTACACAGTGAACAATCAGAAACTGCAAATTTTTGCATAGAATAGAATAACATTAACAATTCCAAAAATTGCTCTGACATTCTGGGGATTAACTAAGTGACCTACACTCATAATTCAACAATGAATGTGGCACTAAACAGAAAGAAATGGTAAAACAGGATTCATGTAGCCACACAGAGTCGGGATGATGATGACATTCCAGGACCAGGAATAAACTAGAGAATGTTCATCATTTAGATTGGTTAGAATTTTCCTATAAACAAATGAACTGGTTATGGCCCACTTAGTACCAATCAATTACCTCAATACACCAACAGGCAAATGGCAGGATAAACCTTTAGTTTCATGTTTAATTTTAGGAGGTGAAGGGCAAATGGCTTGAGCATAAATGCATAATAATAAGGAATAAATGCTTATCATCAGAAAAGTAAAAGGAAATATATATATTCATAATTTCCTTTGGACAGGTATACAAGTACTAATGCATATAGTTTTTCATGCAAGGGAACAGAATCAATCACCTTACGGCCAAAACGACCAGAGCGTCCTATACGATGAATGTAAAGCTCACGGTTATTTGGTAGGTCATAATTGATAACCAGAGACACCTGATGTGGAAAAGGCAAAGATTAATAAGAAAACTCAAATCAGTGCATGGCAAAACCATTAATTCTAAAAACATGTCTTGTGTAAAATAAATGCAGTGGATATTTACTTTATATTGCTCTAGTACTGTAAAAGCACAAAATGCCATGAACTAATGTGGTAATTAGGTTAGGAATAATAACCATTTACAATGTTAATATAAGTTTGTAACTAGTTGCAACTTCACGATTACAACATAGCATCTTTAACATAGGAAAGTTTCATGAAGAGAATATGCATATCTGCATCTGAAAATAAACTGAGCAGACGTAGAACCAGAGTGATCAGCAAAGAAACAAAAGATTATAAACTATAAAAGTATATGACTTGCCTGTTGAACATCAAGCCCCCGAGCCCATACATCTGTTGTGATGAGAACACGGGTCGTTCCTGACCTGAACTCTGACATTATAGCATCACGTTCCTTCTGGGGCATGTCACCATGCATTGAGGAGACTGTGAAGTTATTGCTCCGCATCTTCTCAGTTAGCCAATCAACCTGCCACCTCATATTATATGTGGGATTAACAGCCAAAAAACAAGACAAGCCACAGGAACATTGTAGTTGTACAAAAGCAAGTTAGAACAGAAGCTACCATATATATATATATATATATATATATAATGTGTAGGGCAAAAAATAGCAGAGTAACTCAACGTGGTCCATCACAAATGACCTTTAACCATTATGTTACCTTTCGCTTGGTGTTGCAAAAAATAACAGCTTGAGTGATTGTAAGTGTATCATAGAGATCACACAAAGTATCAAATTTCCACTCCTCTCTTTCAACAGCAACAAAGAACTGTTTGATACCCTGTCATTAGATACAAGGAACAACAATAAGAAAGATGAACAAAAATAATAAATAATAAACAAATAAAAATCGATATCACATTCCCAACTAAATTTGGCATAAAACTGAATCGAACATGAGAATTACTTACCTCCAAAGTCAATTCATCACGCTTCACAAGGATCCTAACAGGATCAGTCATGAACTTGTTTGTCATTTCCAATATCTCATGAGGAAGGGTTGCAGAAATCAACACAACCTGCACAAAAGTCCACTATCTCACTATCTATTGAGAAATCAATTCAAAAAAATGTTTATTACCAATTGATTAGAACATACATGTTAACAATGGAAATAAAAACCTTCATCTGTAGAAGTGATCTTATCACCTAAAGTTTCAACATTGGTTCTATTGTCATAAGTGATCACTTTACTTGGTTATCAACTAAGCCATGTTCTATCATCTATAACAGTAAGACCTACTCACACTGGCTTGATAGTACCAGCTAATCAGCAGTTAGAACTTAGCATTGAAACATCACCTGAAGCTCTGGCGGAAGATATCTGTACACATCATAAATTTGATCCTTAAACCCTCTACTCAACATTTCATCAGATTCATCCTGTCAAGGTGGCAGGGATAAAGAAAATCAATCATTCTCCAACAAAAACAAAACAAATAGTCAAATAACAGAAGAAAGGTTGTAAACTCACAAGGACTAATAGCTTGATAGCTCTTGTGCGTAATGTTCTTCTCTTTATCATGTCACAAACCCTGCCAGGTGTTCCAGACACTACATGGACTCCATACTCCAGTTTCCTTATGTCCTCACCCACGCTTTTGCCTCCAATGCATGCATGAGCCTGTATATTTATGTAATCACCAATTGCCAAAATTACTTTCTCAGTCTGTGCAGCAAGTTCCCTGGTAGGTGACAGGATCAATGCTTGGACCCTGAAAACAGATAAAACCCCCATGTCATAATGAGCAAGTTATAAAATTGAAAAAGCAACCCAATAACCTTTGGTCTTCTTTTTTTATTTGGCACAACATGGCCACTCTCAGACTTGAGCCTGCATTCTCATGCTTGTCAGACTTTGAGAATCTTCAGTCCATTCCCTACGGGTGACATTGCTAGGGGATGGCACTTTTTTATTGTTTCCCTTTTTGTTTTGTGTTTCTTTAAGATTGTTTGCTAGGGGATGGTAATTGGTAGCAACATTATCGTCTACAAGAAGAAATCTGGTCGCTCGATGGAGGACACCCCCCAGGTTATGGATACTATAAATCTGAACTTTGATGGATGCAATAGGGGTAATCAGGAGAATCAGGAATGCATGGTGTGTTCAGGGATCATCATCTAAGGAAAATGATGGCAATCTACTCAGGACCTATTTGGCAAGGAAATTCAATCAGACCAGAATTGTTGGCAGTCCTTCAAGGCTTGGAGTTAGGAAAGATACTAAACTACAACGAGGATATGGTGGAAGAAAGGCATTCAAAAGCTATAATAGACTGGATCAAATACAGCAGGATAGGCATGTGGTAGTCTTGACACATGGAGAGAGGTAAGAAACCTGTTGAGGGAACTGAGAGATCAGTCAAGTGGATAGGAAGATAGCCAAACTGTGTGGTGGATGAAATGGCCAGGCAAACCATGGGTACTTAGTAGAACTTAGTTGTATTATAAGGTTACAAACCAAGTGGCTGGAATATTAGAAATGTAAACATTAAAATCTTGGGAGCAACAAATAAAATTTTTCCCACTTGAATGAATAAATTTGAAAATTAGTGGTAAAAAAAAAAACAGCATACCAAAAAAAGGAAAAGATAGCTCTAAACTCTCTGCTCCACTACTGCACCTGCCCATAAATGAGAAACACTGGACTCTAAGGAGGATGCTAACCCTCTAGCATCAGCACAAAACAAAACTTTCGGGCTAAGCACAAAACAAAACTTTCATTCATAAGGCACACCCAAAAGCACTAGTTTTAATCTGCTGTAACTATGGTAATAGCTAGTGAGTCCCTCGTTTGTCTCTTTTCAATGAAATCTTCAAATGAGACTTAATTTGTTATATGATAGTTAAGGTTTTATTAATGAATTCCCCCGTCTTTTTAAACTAATCCAGTGTAAGGAAATACAACCCATTGCCCTTTTACACATAAATTTTGTGCTTCATAATGACAATGTATAAATAAACGATCCACTGATTCTGCTTCTTCTCCACACATTATGCACACACCATCGTCCACCATCATGCCTCTCCTATTTAAATTGTCCACTGTTAAACATCTCCCAATGTGGCTGTCCAAATGAAGAAGGCCACTTTTTTTTGGGTGGGGGAGTGGGGGGAGGTCTAACAAACTCTAGTAACAAGGAAACTGAAAAACTTCCAGATGTCTTAGCATCAGTTAGCTTGTTATAAAACAATGTAACTGTAAAATTTCTGGATCTCTCCCATGACTAGATTCTTCTATCTCTTCTAGATCTAGCAGGTTTTACCCTGTTGATTCTTTGCAACAATTCCATCCATGGTCCAGCCTTCCAATTATTGAGATCCCTTATGAAAGTGGGACCCCAATCTATTGATTCCTTGTGGGAGGAGAACACATCTGCAATCACGCATTTTTTTTTTGTAATGAGCAATCTTGAACAGTGTTGGGTGCATCTCTTTTAGGGGCTGATCTTGGCATCATGTGTCCTGCAAAAATCTTATCCTAGCTCCATCTCCCACCTCATATTTAATCCCCTTCTTAAAATCATCATATGATTTCTGTATGCCTCTCCAAACCGCAAATGCATAAGCTGCATTGTTTCACCTAGGTCCCAATTTATATTGCTCAATGCATACTTTGTGTGAATTGCCCTTCTCCATAGGCTGTTCACTTTTGGACTGCACATACCATCTCAAAAACTACTTGCCCAACAAACCTACATTGAATTTTCTTTGTTTCCTCACGCATTGGTTTCACCAGGCCCCAATTCATATTGCTGAAGCCATTATGGGCCTATAAATATGCCATGTCTATGAATAAA